CAGCTGCAAAACCGCAAATGAACAAGATAGGAAATAATGATTAGATAAGATGAGAAACCTTGGACAAGAATAAGCAAGTGGCGCCATCTGTTGGTGAAACCAGAACTAAAACGTAATTTCTTTAAAGGCCGAAGGCAAATTTGGATTGGAATTAGGATCGTTAACTAGAACAGAAAGATTTTTATGAATGTGAAATGCCTCTAGAAAATCCAGTTCTCCAATGGAATATGTTTTTTGAATAATTTTGGCAGCAGAAAAATTGAAAGTGTGATTTTCAGACCAACAGTGTTGAGCAACAGAAGACTTCTGTGTTTCCTTTTTTCTAACATATGCCACATGTTCCTTAATGCGAAATTTTAAGGCTCTCTTAGTTTGGCCAATGTAAATTAAACCACACTGGCAAGGAATCCTATAAATATCCCAGGAATTCATATCCGGAATGGAGTCCTTGAGTATGGAATTCAAATTTTATTGATGGAAGAATACACAACCCGAAAGTTAAATTTCTGCAAAATATGTGCAACTTTATAGCTAAATGATGGAAAGAAGGGAATGACAACAGAATTTTTATAATCTCCTAAACAAGAGTGTGCCTTTTAGTGTGTTGAGATGAGAATTTTTTAACTGCTTGATTAATAATATTGGGTGAAAAGCCCCTGTCAATAGCTATTGCTTTTAAATAATTTAGTTCTTCATCAAGGGCTAGTTTGGAGGAGCAAACTTGAAGAGCACCGAAAACATAGGAATAAAATGAAGCTAACTTTTGTTTAGTCGGATGACATGATTTAAAGTGTGGTGGAAGGCAAACTGATGAAGGTTTACGGTAAACTGTAGTATTGAAGTTGGATGTGTTATGTGTGACCAGAATGTCGAGAAACGGAAGAGAATTGTAAGTCTCAAGTTCAAAAGTGAACTGAATAGCAGGATCAATAGAATTCATTGTTGAGAGAACTTTATTTAAATCATCTTTATTACTTTCAAACAGGGTAAAAGTATCGTCTACGTAGCGGAACCATGCCGGGAAGTTTAAAGTTTCAAACAATTTTGATTCATAATAATGCATGTAGATATCAGCCAGGATGGGACTGAGGGGGCTTCCCATGGCTAATCCCTCAGTTTGCTTGTAATATTTATTTTGGAAAACAAAATGTGTTTGTTTCAAACAGAGTTGAGTGAGAGAAATTAGCTCATTAATTTCGATGCAAGAGAAATGAAATTCGCAAAGTCTGGTTTCTAGACATCTTAATGCACTCTCCACTGGAACATTGGTGAATAATGATTTTACATCAAAAGAAACCATGAGTAAATTTGTAGGAGAAATGTTTTTAACCTTTTTTACAAACTCTATTGAATTTTTTATGGTGTAAATGTTATTGTCTAATAGAGTTGAAAATCTAGAAATGAAATATTTAGCTAAGAGGTACGAGGCAGTACCTAAATTTGATACAATAGGGCGGAAAGGAATACCACTTTTATGAATTTTGGGAAGAGCATATAATCTGGCACCATTTGCAACAGATGGGATAAGCGAATGTTTTAAGTTGCTTGAAATGATTTGTGAAGATTTGATCGCAGTTTTTATTTTTGACAAGTCCGAAGGTGAAGGATCTTTACGGATCGGATTATATGGTCCTTTGTTTGAGTTTAGTGACACCATCGATGTAAGTGTTCTTATCCATGACAACTATCTGGCCACCTTTGTCGGCCTTTGAAATGATAATATCTGGGTTAGAATGAATTTCGCGCATTGTAGCTCTTTCTCTCGCGAGTTAGATTTGGTTTCAAAGAGTTTATTATTGAAATTTTATATTATGAGCGATAAGATGCCTAATCATTTCTTTCTGTGAGTCTGAAACTTTACTTGCAAACTGAGGGGTTAGCTTTTTCTATAGGAGCTTTGAAAACTTGAAAGCTTTTGAACTTGAAAGCCTTTTCGATATGAGCCAAAATCTTTGGAATTGAGGGTTTACAGGTTTTGTGAGAAGTTACAATTATATATTTTAGAATTCTTTCTTGTTCTTCTGATAAGCTAACTAACATTAGAAATTAATTTTAACTATTGGCTTAATTAATGTTTAATACAATTAATGTTTACAATGGAAAGATTTTTTTTTGAACTACTTGAACTGGAAGACTGTAAAACACTTTTTTCAAATTTAACTGCAAGGGTGTTTTTATGACAGTTAACTGCATTCTCTGTTCTAGACCAAAACTTTTGTTCAAGGGCAGTGAATTTTGGATATGAATTAGCGAGTTCCAGATGAAGCTTATAGAGTTCATATTCAATTTTGGACTATTGTTGGCATGTATTCCTTATGATGGACCGAAGTAAGGCAAACTTGCAATTTAACAGAATTCGTGAAACGCGACTGGAAGGTTTTTGATTAGATGTGATTTGAATAAAATTGGGGATCAATTTTTTTACATTTGCATTTAAGTAAAAAGTCAAGATGATTCAGAAATTTTTGTCGTTTCAGGCATAATTTAGTGAAACAATTAATGGATGAAAGCATGATAAACAATTCAGAAAATCAAACTAAATTAACTAAGCAATAATAAAGCACACACAAAACAGCAGAAAAATTCCTCACTGTAACGAATAGAAAACAAAACGCTTGTAACTAAAATGCATGAAATCTTATCTTATCTCATTTATTTGCACTTTGGCAGCTGAGGATTATGGTTTGATAAAACCATTGCAACTAGTCCTGTGAAAATTAGAAAATATAATTATTATTTTTGTTGTTTGATTTCTAAATTAATACTTGTTTGGCATGTTATTGTATTATAATTATTACAGTATCTGGTTTACTGCCACCCAGCCAGTATAATGGTTAGTGACTTTAACAGATTTACCTGTGGGTGAAAATTTTGAATCTTCGGAGAAGGCATGGATTCGCATTCAAAATAAAGAGCAAGCCGAAAGGTTGGTGGCAGGGAAAGAGGGATGGAAGACCTTCGTGCTGTCTCATGGGGTGTTCTCCCTCAAAATGGAGGCAGAGGCTTAACAGTTAGGTTCAGCAATATGTCAATCACCTGTGGTACTGCAGAGGTGTTGGCCTAGCTTCTACCTGTACGTGTGTAATCCCAGAGTTGTAGTCTTTTAGATAGATCTGAGTAATAGATAGATTTCTATCTGAATATTCAATAAATCTTTGGCTAATTCTACCTTCTTTGAGTTTCCCAAAATTGTTTATTAATTTTTTAGGTATCTCATAATATTTGAATTGTAAATAGATTCACTTTAATGGAATGAAATAAATTTTTCTTCCTTTTGGCCATCTCTTTGAAAATGAATGGAAACAAGAAAACTATATTCCGTTGTATGTTTCAGCTTATTAGCTGATAGTTTTTTAAGTAATATTTTTTTTTCAATTTACCATTTTGGGACTAATATTTATTGTACAAATTAAGTACTATTTTCGGTTTTTTGAATTCTGTCAAGGCTAAATATGCTGGGTTTATAATGGATTGAATGTACACAGAACCAGTTAAAGCTTGATAAAGTCTATTAAAAAAAACTTTGCAGTTCAGGAACTTTTTACACAAAAGCACTCATCTCAATATGACCATGCACAACTGCTCTGAGCTGTTAAAAACATTGTTTCAAAGGTCTAAAGTTTAGCATTCTTTCACAATTTAAATTTTAAATTTCATCATTTGTATTTCTCCAAATTGTTCGTAACTCTCTCATTCATTTATGAAAATCTACTACATTATGTGACTGCATTGAAAAGCAAGACTGGTTTGTGTGATATAAGTTAAATAGAATATTTAAATTAATTTATATTGAGAGTGAATCATAACATAATCAAGATATATGCTTTTAGGTAGCTCAGTTTTGCTTAATTTAATCAGTTTTGCAAGGCAAAGCAAAGCACATCAAAAAGGTGAAATCTCGCTTGATGATCTCTCAGTACTCTGAACTCTCAATACACTTAGCTGAACTGAAAACTAATGCTCCCTCCAATCCTATATATATAGTTTTCCAATATCCACCTGAGAAATTTCGAGTTGCTTCAATTTCTTGAAATTGCTGGAAAGCATATTATTTGTTTTATTTAAATAAAGCATGTTTTCTTTTGTATGACATGACTGTAACAATTACATTGGGATCAGACCAAAATGTCACCAAGTCTGCTAACTTTCGGCAATCTCTCGCCATATTTGATGACAAAAATTAGTTGCCCAAATTACTGTCAGCTTGGCACTGTCTTGCCAATTTGACGAGACATCCATTTACCTCAATGTTAAATGAACTTAACCCTAAAGCCCTATTTTTCCGGCCAAGCTTCGCATTCTGATGCTTTTCATACTGGTTATACAAGAGGTACTTTAATTTCACTAAAATTATTTACATATGTACAAGATTTATAAAAATATTATTCTAATTTAGTAATTAAAATTAATATTTAAAATTTTAAAAATATGTTATCTTTTGATGTGTTGATAATGTTTGCTGACTTATGACAAATATGATTAGTAAGGGAAGTTTTAAAAGTATTGAAAATTGCTATCTTGCGGCCAATAAATAATTTTTACTTTTTTTATTTGTAAAAAATTGCCAAATTGCTCCAAGGTCATTGTGTTAATATGCAAGTACTGAATATATATAAGAAACTAGCATATAATTGCAAAATTTATGCAATTAAGACGTTTATTAGCTTATTTTCAAATATATATTCATGACAGATTGCAGGAACCTTGAATGCTTCATGACGTAATGATTTTAATTATATTTAAATGTGGTTTATTGTTTTTTATGTTTAATCTTATTGAAGTACTATGAGAGTTTTTATATGAACTCTTTTAACTTCGTTATTAATTACGAATAAATTTAAAGAGAAATATGCCTAGTAACAATACAAATCAATAAATTATTGTTTTTTAAAAAGCATACTAAATAAGAGCTACTTTGTAATCTGATTGCATTTCCTATGAGAGCTAATAGCCTATAATGTACGCAAAATTCTATGAAGAAATTCTTTGTCTTTTTGTAGAAATTTTTGATTGGAAAATGCGATATGATGAAAGTGATAATCCAGTGGTCAGAGCATCACGTCTCCTAACTGATAAAGTAACAGATCTGTTTGGTAAGCTCTTCCCTTTCTTAGATTTATCTATCATCTTTCAATATGTTGTTTCAAAGGTCTAAAGTTTAGCATTCTTTCACAATTTAAATTTTAAATTTCATCATTTGTATTTCTCCAAATTGTTCGTAACTCTCTCATTCATTTATGAAAATCTACTACATTATGTGACTGCATTGAAAAGCAAGACTGGTTTGTGTGATATAAGTTAAATAGAATATTTAAATTAATTTATATTGAGAGTGAATCATAACATAATCAAGATATATGCTTTTAGGTAGCTCAGTTTTGCTTAATTAAAAAAAAAAAAAAAAAAAAAAAAAAAAAAAAGAGAGAGAGAGAGAGACTGAATTTTTAAAGCAAGTTATAATTTTATCAAACTTTTATTCTGAAATATAGGATAAACATGGTGCTAAAAACTGCCAATAAAATTGGTAATCTTAAATTATAACAAAAAAAAAAAAACATGTTGCCAAGGTTTATAAGAATAAAATACATTATATTTGCACTTTGGTACTTTTTGATTATCAACAGTCATCTCTCGCAAAATCGGCAATTTATTGGGAAAAAAAGTTTTTGCTAAGCTCATACACGAAAGACAACAGCCATTTATGAAAAGGGAATGCACTAAGAATTCCATAAAAGAGCAAGCAATCAATGAAATTAAGAAAGAAAGAAGTATTCATAATAAAATGTTAACCTTCTTTAAGAAATCCTTATGGAGGTTTTTTATTTGGGGGGGGGGCTCTGTTCTCCCATGTACACAGTGATCTATTTTGTTTTAAAAAAACATTGGACATTGTAACAATTCAGCATTGTGCATAAACTTGGCATTGCTTGCTGTTCTTTTGCTCATTACATAGTCTGTTTTTTCTCTTTAAAACAATAGAGAATAGCATAAAATTAGCATTTTTATTTTTAACATTTTGCTTGCAGTTTTACCCATTTGGAGTGGCTGTGAAAAAAAAAAAATGTTTTATAAATTTAAAATTGGGGGAGGATAAAGATTAGTTCTGTTATTGTTCCTATGTGTAACTTTAAATGCTAAATTGGTTCTATTTTATTGAGTTGTATATGCATTTGTCATGAATTATATGTTATAATAACAGTATTCAATTTCTTTGAATAGGAGGCCTCTTCCAAAAAACAGAGCTTTCTGAAGTTTTAACAGAGATTTGTAAAATGGATCCTAATTTTGACAAAGAAGCTTTTATTAAGGAATTCGAGACTGAGATTATTCCAAATATTTTAGAGGTATTTTCTATATTTTCTTGTATTTAAAACTTCTTTTAAAATTCAGGTAGCCCAAATGAAATTCTATTAACTTATTTCATTTATTAAATAGTACATATCTGAAGGATCAGTTTGCAAAGTTTATTATTGTTCGATCAGGATTTATTGAAATATTAAAATTTTATTTTATGCCTTAAAAATGCAGTTGAGTATCAGATTTATAATTTCATTTCTTAATATTGAGCAATTTTTTTATTTTTAAAAAATTTGATTTATTTCTGAGTTTTTTATTATTCCTTCAAAACAAGTTACATTTAAATGCTGCAATTTTTGTAATTTATGCTGTTGGCATGTATGTAATTTATGTATTGAGCAGATATGTGATTTCTGTATTCATTAATGAACAATATCATTCTGAAACTTCTGGCCATATATGCATATGATACATGTTTTAGGACATCGGTTGAACTCAAAGTTGAGCGAGGAAGTATTAAAGTCATTTTAACTTTTAATATTTTGAAAGTGGTTTAGAAGTTTAAAATATCTAAAAACTTAAAATATGTCTTAAGCTTGTCTTTTGGGTATGAACATGTCTTTCAAATGGATAAGTCTGTAAAGATTTTGGGCCATTGATTTTAATGTAGGAGTGGTGGCATATTCCACTGAAGCCAGAGGGTAGTCTTTGCAATTTACATGAATGTTTGTCAACCCATATTAACCTGGGGCTCTCCTTTCGATTAGGTAGGATATGTGTATGGTCTGTGTGGATATTAGTAAGAGACTTTCTTTTAGTTCAACATTATGCAGCTAATGTAAAGATCTGAGAGTTTTGACTGGCATTCTTAACTAAGTCTACATGTAAATATCCTATTGTTGTACTGTTGAAAATTGATAATCAGTCATTATCAGCATGAATTTTCATTGACTAAGAATGTCTTATGAATACAGTCGAACTTTCATAATGAACACTCCCTGTTAACAAGCAGTTCCTGAATCTTTTAATCTTAAATAGGAGATCAGTGTAATTGTTTAGTAATGACTTCCCATTCCACTGTATTAATTCTGTACTACATATAGGTAGGCATGTTATGTATGCTTAATGTATGTAATCCACACAATCGAAATGAAAAATGAGAATAATTTTTTATCCCCCCTCATTGTGCAAACAAAATTTAATAATTGTTTAAAACTATTATTTTAAGTTGTATCTGCTGTTTTTATTATGATTTGTAATCCTCCCCTTTGTAAAAGTTATTACCTTTTATAGTCAATGATACGGGGAGAATTAGAAATATTGGAAGATTGGTGCTATGAAGGGGTAAGTGTCTGATGAATATTTGCTGTGTTTGAATATTAAACCAATTATTTATACTTTTAGGACTGTGCTTTAAAAAATTTTTATTCGAAGATGAAAAATTCACTTTGCACTTCTTTTTACAGCCATATAATACTCTGGCTACTCCTATCAAACAAGCAAAAGAATTAGGATACTATTTTGATTCAAAAATTTTAGATATTAATAACGTTGATGTAAGTATACCCTTCCATTATTTGTTAAACTAAGTTATGTAAATAATAATATGTTCTATGATTTTTTAATAACATTTTGAGCTTTGTTAGTATTACCGAAAATTCAATAGATTTGTAAAAGCTGAGTGAGAAAATTACACAAATTCACCTATTCTCTAAGGTCAGATGCAAGACACTATTTCTGTCTCATTCAAGATAGTAGACTTTTTCTAAATACATACATTTTACCAAAAAAGTGAAAATTTTTTTTTTGTATTATCTGTTTTATTTCATAAATGAATTTATGTATCATGGCACTTTTTAAAACAGCTCTATGCTAAATCCGTTATTGAAAGAAATGCAAGTTTTAGTTATAGTAATTAATGTCTGCCAAATTTGTATTTTTTTTTAAAGATTAACAAATTTTAATCAATTAAATACATGTAAAAATAAAATAAAAATAAAATATTAATAAATGGAATCTTTTAAATGAGAGCATCTTAAGTATTTAAAGGCTTGTTAAATAAAACTAGGTATTTTTCTGTGTAGTCATAGGATTGAATATTAGAGGTATGCAGGATAAGGAGGAAGTATGTTTTTTTTTCTTGCCATTATTATTTTAGTAATTATTTTAGTAATAATTATTTTAGTAATAATTCAAATTTATCATGCTAAAATTTCAATTATTATATAATTTCTTAGATGGAGTAAAAAGTTTTCCATGTTTATTGATCTTTCTAATATAGTGATATAGTTAAATATATGTAGTTACATTTAAAATATTGCTGAATAAATGTAACATTATTTTTGCAAATTATAAATTAATTGCACAAAAGGTATATGTGATGTAGTACAATATACGAGAGTAACGTTCTCAGCCTGACCCAGAGATGGCGTTCCAATCAGCAAAAGTTTGTTTTCTGCTTGGGTGCACGTGTCATTAGTTTGTACGACAAGTTTCAACTTGTTCTCTCAAGTAGTTTGTTGTTTACACGAATTTTTGCAGTAGACGGCTTGCATGTTATTCATTAAACTGGATAAACTTGAATATCGTGCAGTCATGAAATTCTTTGTTTTGAATGCATTGACCTTGAAAGAAATTCATCCAAAATTGGCAAAAGTTTATGGGGACTTCTCGTAAACTTTTGCCATGTCAACCGTTAAAAAGTGGGCAACTGAATTTAAACCTTTTCACATATCCCTCGAAGATGACTCATGTAAAGGATGGCCCAAAACTGCAACCACACCGGAAACCATCGAAAAAAATGCATGATATCATGTTGGACAATAGTCAAGTGAAGGTGAACAAGATAGCTGAAGTTACGGAGATATCGGAAGAATGGCACAAAATATCGTGCTCAAAGAATTAGGGATGTAAAAGCTCTGCAAGGTGGGTGCCGCATTTGCTGAATGCCTATTAAAAGCTAAAGCTGAAATTTTTTCGCAGCAATCTATGGACTGTTTCAGCAGGAATCTGATCGATTTTGTATGGCGATTTGTCAGCTTGGATGAGACATGGCTTCACCACTACATGCCAGAAATGAAACAGCAGTCCAAGCAATGAGTGGAAGCCGGTGGCTCAGCGCCAAAAAAAGCAAATTTGATCGCATAGCCAGAAAAGTCGTGCCCAGTATGTTTTGGGATGCGAAAGGGATTTCCTGTTAATTGATTACCTTGCAAAGAGCAGAACAATTACAGGTGAATATTACTCCAAACTTCTTTACCAGCTGCATGCCAAAATTCATGAGAAGAGGCTTGAAGAAGAAAAACATCTTTCATCAGGACAGCGCACCTGTGCACAAGGGTGCATTAACAATAGGAAAATTGTGGGATTTGGGTTACAATTTCCTCGGCCATCCCCCCTATTTTGATTTGGCACCGTCTTACTTCCATCTATTCCCAAAGTTGAAGAAATTTGTTTTTGGGAAGTTCTTTGCATCCAATGAAGAAGTTGAGAGGGTCGTAGATGAATATTTTCACAACCTTCCAGATTTTCACTTCTGGGAAGGAATGCTGATGTTGGTGAAATACTGGACCAAGTATGTTGAAATCAAGGGAAATTATGTAGAAACATAAAATAATTTTTTTAACTGAAAGTCTAATCTTTCATTGCCAGGCCGAGAACTTTTCACCTTACCCTCGTATATATGTTGATTTTTTAAGATACACAATAAAAATTTTCTTTTATCTCTCGGTCTTTAGTAAACACATTTAGCAATTATTCATATACCTTCTCTGCCCTCCCCCAAATTTTTATATGGCATTTCAGTCAAACTTTAATATGCCATAATTCTTGTGTTCTGTAGAATTCGTGGCTGATATGTAAGGGTACCGAGCGGCTATATATAATTTCATACTGGTTTGTAAATATTCTTAGCTTATTTTTGCTAAGCAAATTAATATTTAACCAGATTCAAATCTTTCTTTGTCATATTCTTGTTGCTCATATCTTAGTCAGATAGCTCTTGAGTGCTGCCATAATCAAATAAACCGAAACCTTGTTGCTTATATACTGTTTCATCAAGATTAACCAGTTTTTTAGGCATGTAATTCATCTGTCTTATAATGGATGTACACGATGAAAAAAATATTAGTTTTGTTATTAGAATGAAAAATAATTTTACAGCAAAGTTCCTGGATATATCATGGAAGTTTTTTTTGCCTCGAATTTATAATAGTGCAACTGATTTCATAAAAATGTCTAGGCAGGGAATTTGTAGCATTATCTACGAAATATTTATCAAATATGGAGTAGTACTGTTGATAATTAGTATGTAATTAAAAAACATTATACTATATGCATTTGAATTTGGATTTTTATGTTTTCAAATTTTGTCTAGATTACTATAACTGTTACATGACATAAAGATCTCTTTAAACATATTGTGTTTTGATGCAGTTTATTTAGTTTAATCAAGTTTTTCTTCTTTTATCGATATCTGTAGTCTTGTAACATGAAACAGAATAGGAGAACTTTATTCAATTAAAATTTTTCCTTATTATATTGCTTTCATTTTTCAGTTGTGTTTTTTACTGATGTAGCATAATCTAAGAATTAATATAGCTGTTGATTAATATCAACAATTTGTTAATAGTCTTATTGGGAAACTTTTAGTTGAGAATATGTTTACTAGGATGTTGAATCACCCCTCTTAATTTCAGTTTGGGTTGGATTTTGGAGTAGGATTACTTTCTCTTTTTTATATAAACTATATTGAAGGGTGTATTACAATTATTAACAGTTTTAATGAAGTTACAAGGATAAATACTGAAATTTACTACAATAGAATTCCAGAAATCCGCGAAGCTTGTTACCAGAGGTTGTGCAGATTTTAGGATTTTGCAGATTTCAGGACAGAAAAGATAAATCATAATATTCAGACTAAAAGTGCAAAATAAATAAGGCGTATTAGATACATTTAATTAAATTATTATATACATTATTGCAATAATTTATTATATGCATTAAATTATTATTAAATATATAAACTAATTATATTATTCATTGTATTATATATACACAGCATCGAGGTTTGCTGATTTCGCCTCATGCAAAGATTTCCGGTTTCGGACTCCGCTGTTAAAATCACTGTTGCTGTAAAATTTCAACAGCTTTTCTTTATTTTTCCGTATATCATACACAATCGTATCGCAATTCCATACGATTCTGCTATAAACCGAGGAGTAGCACCTGTCTCCATCTTTTGCTGAATTTGCACGTTTTGCATCATCGTCAATGCAACGTGTTTACGTTTTTCAACGTTGCAAACATTAAAATCATGAGTGCGTTTCTAATCTGTAATTGTATTAAAAAGGGCTGAAATTTAAAATATTCTTAATTTATCCCCAAAATATCCGAATTAAAAAAAGGCAGCACTAAATAATCTCGTGAAATAACAGAGCTCAGAAGATACAACAACGTGAATCGTGAACTTGAAAAAAGAGTTGAGTGAATTGTCTACTTTCTTACCTCGATGCAGATTAGAGGAGAAAAAACTTTATCATGATGTCAATAATTTGGTATTTCTGTTATGACTCATTCAGAGTTCGTAGCGGTCCTTATAAGTGCTTATAAGTCCTTATATTTGAAAATAAAATACAAAGGCCCTTATAGGTGCTTATTTTTCTTTAAAGCCCTTAATTTTTGTTTTTAGTACTTATTTTTTGCTTTTAGTGCTTTTTTTTAATGAACGCGCTATTTTCCCCGTGCCAAAGCCGAAACTAAATAAACAACTTTTCTTCCTAATATGGAATGTCAGATGGTAAATCATACTCCCGGAAATATCTTTAATTCTTTCTCTGCATTAACATAACCTTTGGTGTGCACGAAGAGTACAGACAGGTGTCCATCGTTCTATTGGTCAAAGAATTGCGAAAGCAGTAGAAAATTCCGGTACATTCTTTTCCTCCCACCCAAATACTACACACATTTGAATTTCTATCAAGATCTTAATAATTTGCATTCTCGTTCCGCTTGCTCAGTTCATATTCGTGTTTATTATGATCGTTATGCTTATATTATGAGCATATGTATGAATGTTTGTAATAACATAGTTGCAGTAACTGCTGAAGTAAACTTCCGAAAATGGTTGTGTTTTAACACAGATTAACTTTCTAAGGAATAATATTCAGAATGGCTTAAATAAAGGGAAAGCAATCGAATAGTCAAAATAATTTAATTTTTTTGGCCTATACATTATACAGTACGAAGATTGGGAGGTTCTCCCCTTTCTCCACAAAATCTCGAATATTGAAACTGTTACAGTTCGCTGCAAAACAAGCAATGGACCTTTTTTTTTTTTTTTTTGGTCACTTTCCAATCTGGATTGAATAGGACTAAAAGTTCTGCGGTCTACCAACCCAAGCAAAGAATGATTCTATTCCGGAAATTTAACGCCGTCTGTTGAAAATTAGAATGAAAAACACTCCAGTTATTTAGTTCTTTATTCTCCCAATACCGGCAGCTGTTGATTCCGATTGCGTAATATCACGTAGAGAAGAATTACGGTACACGTATTGCGCAATAACGTTTGCGATTCTCCCCGAGATTTGTTTATGAATACTTAAAAAAGTTTTACTAAGCTTGCTAAGCAGAACATTTTTCAGTTCCATTGGTTTATTTTTATATGATGCACATATCAAAATGTCATGTCAAAAGCATTTAATTAGCAGAAAAATTTAAAAAGCGGCTACAATCTATCCCCCCTCCGCTCCTCTTTTTTACGTTAAGCTCGATTGTCCTAATATTCGCCAATTTCTAAGTATGCAGGTTAGTTAAGCTTTTGCTGTTAAAGGATGGCTGCATGAAGCAAAGTCTTCTGATTTCAGAAATGTTCCTCTTTTGTACTTAAATTACTTTGCTTGCAATATCTGTTAAGAGAAAGCTGATATACAATGAAAATTTAGAAAATGTTCAGAATTTAGATTTAAATTATTTAAATATCAATATGAGTGGAAAAATAAATTGTATTTATTATTAGGTTCCAAGCAAATACAATAAATATGCCTTATTATTATTTATTTTCTCTATTTTGAACTGAAATTTCATCATTAAATCTTGTAATATACTAGTTTAGTTCTGCATAGTTTTTTTTTTCTCTCATTGTAAACTAGTTCTGTAAATTGAACTGTTATTTAAAATTAAAAAAAAAAAAAAAAAAAAAGTAATTATTTTTCATGGTTGAGGTAATGCTTATTTTCTCTTAATAAATACTGCATTTCTCATATTTTAAATTACAACTCTAATTTCTAAGGTTATGCAGTTGTGTATAATGTAATTAGACAGGTGCTTATTTTTTTCTTAAAATGTGCTTGAAAAGTGCTTATAGGTGCTTATTTTTTTAACTAAAATGTGGCTATGAACCCTGCCATTATTATTCGGTAATTATGACATCATTATTCGGTAAGTATTTTTGTTCGATATTTCGTACTCAATGTTGCGGTTTCCGGAACCTATAAACTGAATGTTTATATTTTGAGAGGCAACACGGATTTCAGGAGTTGGCGGATTTTCGGTTTTTGACTGAATTTTGTTAAGTAGTTGCTGTCAAATCCGCGAAATTTGCAAAAATAATAATGTAATTTTTCTACCATACTAAAGTTACTATCCTAATTATGAATGAAATGCAAAAGTAACACGATGTATTATATACTGTGTAAAATTTGTATGCAGTTATTTTTCATTGTGCTGAAGGTAATACTTTTCCTAACTATTTTTATTCTTTTTCATTCTGAAGTTTCATATGCAAAAATTTCTGTTTAATTTTAAAACTTTCAGCTTGCAATGGGAAAAATGATGGAGCAAGGACCTGTACTTGTTTTGACATTTCAGTCTCAGCAGATTTTAGTTGTGCGTGATTCCAAAGGAAATGTTGTGGAAGGTGACCCTGTAAGTTTCTTTAGAGCTTTTTATATTAACTTATATATACATAATAAAATAAATAAGTCAATATATTAGTACATAAATAAATTTCATCACCTTAATTATGGTGTAATGGAAGATTAAAGCAAGCAAAAATGTATAAATTTCCATTTCATTATGGAGTAAAACCTCTCATAGATTTAAATTGGACACTGGGATATCTCTAATGGATTCATTTGCTTTCCATAGCCACGTAACAACTTCACATTGCTATAAAACTCAGATACAGTACAGAGTCTGAAATCCGGACGTCCATTATCCGGAATGATCTAAAATCCAGACTTCAAAGCCACAAACTTTTTTTTTTTTTTTTGGTATGTCTTATGCATGCGCGTTTGCTTTTTCTTCCATAATAAAAAGTGTGGAGATTTTCACTTAAAAATTCTGATTCTTAATTTCACTTAGGCACTAAGTAAAATACATCGTTATGAAAAAACAATCATGTAAGCATACATTTGTGAGATTAATAATTTGGCTCTGCAGCTGAGTGTCTGCTTAGCATTACATCTCAAACCGAAACATCTATTTTATATCCCTGAGGTGGACCTGGCGAGTCATTATTTATTATATTTTTGCTTTCAACACTGCATGTTTATCAATACATGACAGCTTCAGTAATAACTCATGCAGTGATGTCTAAACTTGTTTTTATATTAGTAATTGAATAACAAGAGTAGGGCAACCTTTTTTGCTAACATTACCCTTGGCAATGGTTATAGATGTTTTAAATGCTGTAAGAAATGTTGATGAGGAAAAATTCAACAAAAATTTCTTTTCATGTGCTAAAAATAGATTTTGTTAATGAAACTCATAGGCCAAAAGATTACATTTAGTGCTATTTTAATTAAGAATAACTGATATGTTATTCACCGTAAACCCAGAAGCGGTGGCAGAATTTAGGGAAGACACTGGACGGCAGAATTTAGGGAAGACTCAATTTTTGGAATTTGGGGAAGCACTGAGCGGCAGAATTAGGGGATGAGAAGTTTTTTTATGATTTAGGGGGAAAGCACTGGGATCCAAAGTTTAGGCACAGCAAAAATTTAGAAATTAGGAAGGCACTTTGTAGCAAAATTTAGATACTGCACCATGCCAGCCCTAGATAATGCCTTAAGTATATGCAGGAGTTTATTTATTCAGAACTCAGATTAGTTTTAAGCTTGTGCAAGAAATAAAGGTAGGTATAGTAAATAACTAATTCAATTCAGGCTTAATTCAGTACGCAATAAGAGCAAGACAAAATTTAGCGGAACAACTTGGCTCTCGTCGCCAATCTTGTGTTACACAGCCAATAATGTATAACAGATGCTATTAAGCTAGGCTAAAATTATCTTTACTGATTTTAAGGCATTTCAATTTATGTAGCAGATTGTGCTGCTCCTTAATCTTCAAATTTGATCGAGCTTATTATTTTTTGCAGACTGTTATTATTACAGCAATTTTATAAAAATTAAGCTTGAACCTTCGATTATATCGAAAAGAATTTCCAGTTATAGAGCTGCCAAAGGATCTACAAAGCGAAACCTTGTTTCAATGTCCATTAAACAAAAAGTGCAATTGCTGCAAAAAATGGATAAAGGCATATCCGTCTCAAAATTATACGAGGAGTATGACATTGGAAAGTCAGCTGTATGTGACATAAGAAAAAGGAACTTTTTGAATTTTTTGTGGAAGCATCTTAAACAACTTACATTGAAAGAAATGTTTAATAAAATAAACAAATAAATATTAAGCTTTTTTTTTTGTAAATTTTGATACCCTTTGGATCATAATTGTTTTTTTATTTCATAATTTTAATTGTATAATTTCTGCATGCCATCTTACCAGATTTAAATTGATGATCTATTATTCGGAAAAATCCCAAATCCGGAATTGCCGAACTCTCGACATGTCCGGATTTCGGACTTTGTATCGTATTTGCTTTTTTCCCCTCATTCTTCCAAAGATAATTTTTTTTTGCATCTGAAACTGGCCTTAGAAATGTTTCTTTCTCCATTTCAAAAGCTGTCAAGTTCTATTTAGGAAACTGTGTACTTGTCATACTTAAGAATGTTAAGTATTATCTCCGTATACAGGAGATTTAGTCTCTAATTTTAAGATTAAAAGATGGTTCCTTTCAGGCATGCTTTCAGATCAGTAGTAGTTTCACTGTAGTGCCAGATGAAAGGTGGCTGAAAGCGCATTCCTATTTTCCATCATTTTAAGTGAACTTTCTTATGTGTGACTAATACAACCACTAACTTCTTCCCAACCATGATTTCTTTTGTGGAGAGAGCATGACTAATTAAGTTATCAGTCACCTCTTTTCATTTTTGCTGCATTGGGGGAGGTTGGAAAATATGAAGAGATGAGTGGTTCTTGAGGTTAAAGATAAGCATTTAATTTATATTGATCAAACTAAGAGATCAAGGAACATAAGGCATATGTTAAAAAAGGAACATATAAATTCTCTGTTGTCTAAAAGTACTGCTCAGAAAATCACATTTTCTATTTTTCTCAAGCCAAATAAAAAAAAAAAAAAATTCTGTTGGCAACTTAGATTTTCTAGAGGCATTTGCCGTCTTGGAAAGGCATTTTGCGTTGAATCACTTAAATGTGATGTATCACTTTTCAAATTGTTGCCACCAAATATTATCGCCCTGTATATTCAAAGAAACTAAATCATGAAGAATCTGCATGAATGTAAGTATGTTTCTCGCATTGTGAAAAAGCAATGGTACCTAGAGTCATCAAGTTTTGAATAACGTAGTCCTCCACCTGAGCATGGGCACCTGGAAGCCTGAATTTGAAATTTGTTTTTATTGTCTATATCATATTTTGTAAATTTTTAACGAATTTTTGATTAAAAACCTGGTACTATTCGGTTTCGAGGGCCGTAAAAAATCGCCAAACTATCGTTGATGCCGATGCTGCCAAAAATAATTGCGGCAAGAAAGGAAGTATAATAGTAAATAACTATCTAAGATTGATGTTTTAATTTAGATGAAAGGTTAATTTCATATAATACTTTTTTATTATTATAATTTATATGAAAAAGGCTAAACATGACTGAATGGAAGCAAAAGAGTAATTAACTATTTCAGATTACTATAATTTATATAAAAATTGCTAAACATAACTGAATGGATGCCTGCATCGCTATTTCGCTACCGACTTATCGCTAAAGCATAATTTCATCTCGTTGGTTGTTCAAACGTAATTTTCTATAATGAATGATGCCTTTTCTTTGAAAATATTCTCGGTAAAGTGCAGAATCGCTCACTTATTTGTTTGCTGCTTTTTACAAGGGTAAAAACAATTGTATTTTTGTCAATTTTCTGTTACTTTTTAAGTGAAAATAGCTCGATGTGTACATAGATAAAGTCAAGGGTATGAGCAGTGCCATTTTTGTGCAATTCTAGGATTTTTTTAAAGTGAAAATAGGTCGATGTGCACATAGATACCAAGTATGTGCAGTTCTTAAAAACGCGTCAAGCAGCGGATGATTCTGCTTTTTACCCAAAATTCTATTGCCGACTTTTCGCCATGGGCAATTCCCAAATTGTTAAATCCATAGGATATAAAAAAAAAAAAAAAAAAAAGAAAGAAAGTTTTAAAAATTAAACTAGTATTTCAATGACGTCTTAAGAAATATAGAACTATATAAACTTACGCAATCTGAAATCAGCCCTTACGCTAGATTTGGCGCACTGTTAAATGGGCGCATTTGCTAAATTTGGTGCTTTTGCACATACATTTTTGCTGCAATTTTTTTACAGCCCTCAAAACAGAATAGTACCAAAAAACTCAACAATTTCAAATCGAGCAGTGGCAACACACTGTGTGGAAGCGCACAGAAAATTCTCATGCCATTAATATTTTGCATGTATTTACATAAAGCTTCTGTAACATGTGTAAATGCTTATTAAAGCAAAAGCTTATTTTTTTTTTTCAAAGCAAAATCTTTTGGAGTGCAGAAATTTTCTTTCCAGTCTTTGAGTAGCCCTTCCTGAGTTTATTATGCTTATGCTTATTGCTCTTCCTTCATTCTTATTTTATCTTTATTCTTCATCTTGACTTTCATGAATTAATAAAAAAAAAAAATTTTAAAATGTCTATTAAATTATTTATTATGCTGATTCCTTTTCTATTTTGCTTTCTCCTTCTAATTTTTTTTTTTGATATGTATTTTATCCAAATTGTTCCTTTTAGTTTGATATTAATAAATATATATAGAAATATTAAGGAAATGCTGTTTTTACATATTTTTAGCTGCTCACAAAATGTGTCTGTAAATGGAAAAAAATGCCATTTGGACCTATAAAATCTGAAAGCTTTCAGATTTCTTTTTTTTTTCATATTTGTTTTAATTTCCGTCAGTAGATAGCACCAGTAGCTTGACTGCCTTCCTCTCATTATTACTTATTTTATTATTTTATCACTGTCTTTTCTTTCATCATTTGCACTTCTGCAGTTGAAAAAGAAGGTTCCATTTTTAAACCTTTGAAATTAGTCTTGAAAATATATGAATATTATGCTGATTCTTATTGCTTTAACTTCTCCAGTAATTTTTATTTGATATGTTATTTTATCCAAATTGTTCCTTTTAGTTTGATATTAATAAAATATATAGTAATGTCTCACATAATGAGAATTGTCTATACTGTAGTGGCATTCATTATGCAGGGATTATTTTCTTCTAAGTTACTCTCAAAATAATTTTAATTCTGGGAAAGAATGGATGAGAAAGGGCAACATATATCCCAAACCAGTATGTTTATTGCATCGGGGTTTATATTGCTGGAAAGAAAGACTTGAAGGTTTTGTTTGCTGGAAAGACTATGGAGTGGACTTGACCTCTTTAGACGTGCATGCGCTAATTACAGAAACGGTAGGACTAAATCACACCAATAGTGTTTTTGAACGTGTGGAGTGAAAGTAAAATATATGCTTAGATTTAATAACTACAAATGGTACTCACGTGGAGG